TTGCCCTTCTCGGGTGGTTGTCACACCGAAGCGTTTATGGATTCTATTTGGGATCGTGGCGTCTTCAAAAGCATTTCCAACGACCTGGACCTAAGCCCATGTTCTGCTGGCAACCACAGACGAAACACAAATCTCAAGTTCATTCTCAGCCCCCAATCACGCGCCTTGTCCTTCCGAGTGCTACAATAGTCTCTCCTCCCTAGTCGACTCTAAGCCATTCGCCCACCATGGCAGATGCTCCCGAGGACATGGTCGAGAGCGTGCTTCCGACGCGCTGGAACCGGGACTTTGAAAAGATTGCCAATGATCTGTGCCCGCAGCTGCAGCGATGGACACGAACACCTCAACGCGTCATCACATTCGACAAAGACGAGGGCCAATACTTTGGTGTCCGTGCCGTGCCTGCGGAATATTCCATTGACAAGTTGCCGTCCAAGACTTGGGGGAAAGGAGATGGCTTCATTCTCGACTTTGGTATTCACATGGTGGGATATCTCTCAATGAGACTAGAGTCCCGGGGCTCGCACATGGACGCCCCGTGCAGGTTGCGCCTCACATTCGGCGAATCTCCTTTGGACGTGACTCTCGGCATGGAAAATGTCAAGACATGGATCAGCACTAGCTGGCTTCCGGACGAAATCATCAATATCGACATGTGCCCTGAGGAGGTCTCTCTATCTCGACGATACTCGTTCCGCTTCCTTCGAGTTGAAGTCATCGACACCTCACCCAAATACAAGGTTACATTTTCCGAAGTCAAATGTCAATGTGTTAGCGCCATCAGCCAGAACCACGCCCTGGAGGCTCCGCAGTTCAACGATCCTCTCCTCCAGCAGATTGACCACGTAAGCATATCGACACTGAGAGATTGCATGCAAACCGTCTTTGAGGACGGACCTCGAAGGGATCGTCGGCTCTGGAGCGGAGATCTTCGTCTTCAAGCACTTGCAAACTACAGCACCTTCCGGGACTTCAACCTCGTCAAGCGCTGCATCTTCCAGTTTGCTGCCGTGGTGCGCGAAGATGACTCTGTGCCAGCTTGCATTTTTGAACAGCCTCAGCTCACGCCTTCGACCGACTACATTGTAGACTACGACGCGCTATTCGCCGCCATTACGTATGACTACGTGGTGGCATCGGGCGACAAAGCTGCGGGTCACAGCCTTTGGCCCACCGTCCTCGGCTGCGTGAAGCGGGCTCTTACGCATCTCGATGCTAACACTCACGTGTTTGATGAGTCCAAGGGTGAAGGATGGAAGTTCCTTGACTGGCAGCCTGGGCTGGAACACAGCGCAGGACTACACGGGGTTCTGCTGTATTGTCTGAAAGCAGCTAACTCCTTGGCCACGGTTCTCGGCAAGGAGGCCCCTTTTGTGGACCTCGTGGCCCAAATGACCGAAGCAGCGAAGGTGTTCCTTTCTCCAGACAATGTCTTCGTGTCTGGCCCCAAGGGACAGGTTAGCTTTGCGTCGGCGTCTTGGCTTGTTCTTGCAGAAGCATATCCTCAGGAAACCGCTAAGGCTGCTCTGGTTAACACACTTGCACACCCTGATGCTCTCAAGCCCCTGACCCCTTACCTATGGCACCATGTGTGCGATGCCCTCGCTACTGTGGGCTTGTTCGATAAGTGTGTGGAGATCATGACCAGCTACTGGGGAGGTATGGTCCGCGCCGGTGCAGACACTTTTTGGGAATGCTACAACCCGGAAGACCCTCGGGCAAGTCCCTACGGAGATGCTCGAAACAACAGTTTCTGTCACGCTTGGAGCTGTACCCCGACGTACCTACTAAGGGGGAAGCTGAGAGAGTTTGTCGGCGTCAAGGAAACGAAATCGGTCACCATGGGTCACTTGGACGAACATTGGATCAAGTCACAGGTCGGGAGTCAATAAGACAGCAGTTAGTCGGTGATTAGAGTAATTTGAGTCAAGTGATAGACGCCAGAGAAAATTGATAATCATTTCCCGAATGATATGTGCAGCTTGGCTTTTCCAATTAAGTAAGTATGTACAGGAAAATGAGATTGGCTCGTTTCTTGTCGAGCCGGGTCCTGGTTGCTTCACGTTCATGGCCTTCTCGCGCTTAAGCGGCGCCAGCAAGAGCACTGGCGGGCTTGGCACCAGGGTAGAAGGTAGTGGGGATGGCGGGAATGTCGATGGACTTGGTGATGCCGAGTCCGGCGGTGACGAGGCCGGGCATGGTGGCAGCGGAGTAGCTGGTGACGGTCTTGGTAGTAGCAGTGCTGGTGTAGGTCCCAGAGCCGGTGCGCATGCAGTGACCGGTGCCGAAGGCGTTGTTGCACTTGTCGACGATGGAAGAGCCAGACTCGGTCCAGATGTTGATACCGGACACGTCAATGTTCTCGCAGGGGACGGCGGCAGCGCAGAGGGCGACCACGGGACCGCGAGCGGCACCGTTGGCGGCGGTGCCCTTCCAGTTGGAGAAGGTCAGGTTTTTGTACTCGACACCGTTGCCGGCGACCTTGCTCTGGCCGGTCCAGGCAGAGTCGATCTTGAGGGAGTAGGCGTTGCCGTGACCGATGAAGTTCTCGAACTTGGCGTTCTGGAAGGCACCATCACCACCGTTGTTCTTGATCATGAGCATCTGGTTGGAGTTGGAGGTGTAAACGTTGCGGTAGTGGATGTCGGAGATGGCTACAAACAACTCTTGTTAGTGATTTCGTCGTAATAGAGAGATTCCTCTCGGAGCCTAGACGTACCAGTGTCAACGCCCAATGAGCCGATGCCGCAGCCACCGGACCAGTTGCAGAAGACGTTCTCGACGAGAATGTTGCTAGACTTGTTCTTGACAGTGACGCACTCGTCCTTGTTGGTGACGGCAACGTCGTGAACGTGCACGTTCTTGGCAGCCATCAAGTTGAAGCCATCAAGACCGCCCTGGTTGCCACCACGGACAATCATGTTGTAGACCTCTCCGTTGGTGACGGTGTCCATGACGAAGTGGAAAGCCGGAGAGTCAACGAGAGCAATGTCATGAACGCTGAAGTCGGTGACAGAGACGAATCTCAGGAGACGAGGTCCGTAGACACCGCTGCCCTCTGTCAAATCGTCAGTATTGTGTGGTGGCGATTGGTTTGGAGTGGGAATGTCTTACGCTTGTGGAATTCATAGCCGTAGCCCTGCATGGCACCCTTGGAGTTGCCGCTGTAGAACTCGACATCGGTTGACTTCTGGACGATGATCATGTGGCCGCCAGCAGTTCCAGTGCGGTAGATGGTACCCTCGAGGTTGATGGAAACACCAGTTCCGCCGGAGAGAGTCTGCCAAGTGCCGAGACCCCATTCACCGGCGGGGATGAGGATCTCACCTCCGGTCTTGCAGGCGTCCCAAGCGGACTTGAGGGCCGCGCCGATGTCTCCGGTGGCACCGGTCTTGGCGCCGTAGCTGGTGATGTTACATGTCTTCTTGGCGGCCTTGGTCGCGGCCTTGGTGGTAGGTCCAACGGTGCCAGACAGCTGGGCGTTGGCCAGTTCCGGGATAAGAGCGCCCAGCGCAAGGAGTGAAAAGGAAGCGAACTTCATGTTTGTTGATTTTGAAAACGAGTGAATACCGACAGAAATGTCGAGAACTAGAAGAGCAAAAAAGAAAACGAGAGACACCGGAATGGGACGACGGAATGATCAGGGAAAACAATCAGTTTGTATCTCTTTGAGAAAAAGGGCCCTGATGAGATGATAAAAGGAATCCCTTCCTCAGATCTCCCCTAACTTCCTCCACCAATGGGCCCAGCAGCCTTACCTCGAGTCCTCGACTCCTGTGGTCGATTCGCCATTTGCAGTGCCCACGCCGCTTCCGCCAGCGACCCCACGATCCGTCCCATTGTTTGTGGGAAATTGAACGGAACAGGTGCTCTGGAGAGTGGCTGTTTGACGAATCATGAAAATCGAACCCTCTGCGCCCGGGATTCTGACGCCGTGTTAATTAATTAAAAGAACAACACAGACAGTGGGCTCAAGAGCGAGCTCGCTTCACTCAAATGCCGTCCCGAATGGGTATTAGAGGTATGAAATAGAGTACTTGGTGGCGCTATCGGGGCCTGGCCGCCAGACCATTCTCTTTACCCCCGGTAGTTTTGTCAGGGGTACTGCTTGCCGGACTGCTTTACCTCAGCATCCCTACTATGCAAAAACCCAAGGTCAAATCTTCTCGATGAACCAGGGCCATCAGGGGGCGACCTGGAGCGGCGCTGGGGTGAGCTTTGGTGAAACAAAAGGAAACGGCACAGATGAGCCGCGTCATGGTTGCAGTTCGTCCCGTCGTGGTCAAAACTTCAAAGTATATTCCATTTGTCTGGCACACGCTGCCCACGGCAAGGGCCACAGACTGATTAAAAAGAGATGACCCAGCCGCATCTTCTGCCCAACAAGTTAAGAAACTGTCTCAACCATCATCCCGCATTTTGGGTATGATCATATCAAGATCTAAACTGGGGGGGCTGACGACTGATGATCTAGGCGCGGCAGAAATTCTACCCAGCATCATGTCCCACGTCCCAACGAGAAAATATCGGCATCCCACTGCCGGGGCCAAGTTGGAAACGGCCTAGGGGGAGAATTTCCCAAGTCCTTATTTTGATTAACAGTGTCCGCAGCCTTCGTATCAGATACAGAACGTCCGGGTATGCAGTTCCGTGTACCGTCCTCCGAACTGGCCCAAAAACCGATGCTTCTGGAACTGCTCCCATTCGGACTGCCAAGCGCCGTGCCATAACGGCGATGCTCCGTGAGCCAAGACGGGGACGTTGAAGCAACAGATCGGGACTACTATCGGGTTATGCGTGCCGTTCGGAGAATGTTCTCTCTATCCTCCTTCTCTTTCGGGACTCGGCCCGTCACGAACCATTTCCAGCTTCTTCAGAGCTCTCTCGATGTGACCCGCTGTGCAGTGGTTCGAGAATCTAGATGAAGATCTTCTTGATCAGGAACTCCCGTTTATTGGCTACTGCCGGCACTTGACTCGCCCACCCAAAGAGCCACCAAAATGGAGCGGAACCTCCTCCACTCGTGAGTTCGTCAATGATCACGGGACGGCAAACGCGGGTTAATCAGCGGTCTCGCTTCTTAACCTCAACCCTTAGCAGTTAGAAGTTCTAGGAGCAGATGGATACTGCATAGAGAGGCTAGTCAATGTACCTTGGCAACAGCTTCAACGCCGCGTCTGCTGTCAGCCTGTTCCTAAGACTGATATTCGTACATGCTTTGTACTTCGCACAGGTGGTGACGAAGCTACGTGGCTACTACATGAGCAATCCACGATGCCAAAGTAGCACCATTTCTCCCTTCCTATCTCCGTTTCTAACCATCCACCTCTAGCTTCTGAGATCTCGGTATGCACGACCCCTCAACATCCCGAGAGCCAAGAATAAGCTTACCACTGCAGCGCAAAATGAGCGGTATGTCAGCAAAAGGCATGGGACCAACCACGAGAGCCCAGAGGTCCAAGTGAGACCGTCTGTGAGACCCAGCCCTCTGGCGTCTGACAGGTGCAACTGCGCCGCCGCCTCTGGAACTCCTTTGGCCCTCCTCCCGGCGGCCATCGACTTGACTCGAACCGTCCTAGTCGGCGACTCGTCCCTCCGCCCTCAGCACCAAGACGCTCAGCAGAGACTCGGATTGCAGCTCAGCCCTGCGACGCACGCCTATCGCGTTTGTCAATCGGGGCTGACGGTGCTACTCTGCCTACCACAAGGTTCTGCAGCTTGCATCCTTAGCTACCCATTTGCTCGGAAAGGTCCGAGTCCGGGGGAAGAAGATGAAGGAGGATTCATCACACCCGGATGCAAGGGATGCAGATGCCCGTCTCACTCTGCATAGCCTATGCCATACTTTATTCCGTAGGGCGACGTGCTTTCAGCTCCGGGAGTTCAGCGGGCGGTGCGTATGCGCAGCAGACTTCCGACGTGCTGTTTGATTTACACACCAATTTCGGCTTAGGAGGAACGACACGCCTTGGTCACGATAATGGCGGGCTTACTGGCACGTCGCGGCCTCTTTGCGAGATCCCTCTGAACGCACAGCCGGTTGTGGTAAGGCATAGGCTACTCTGAGAGATGGCAATGAAAATAGTTTCCGTGCAAACGACCTGTATTTCACTTTTTGTCAGATGTGTATAAATCCAACCTGGTTCCTCCCCCGATATGGCGTCTCTTTCTCATCAACAATCACTTCAAACAGCTTGTTTATAACTTCACATTTTCATTTCCTCTTTTTTCTTTCCTATTTCCTTATTTCCTTTGTCGGTTTCTCTTTCCTTGGGACAATCGTTCAATCTGCAAACCTCGACTCCATCACTCTCACAATCGTCAACTTCTGCTTAATCTAAACTCGAATCCACCACATCTATCAATCAACAATGCATTCTTCCATCGTCCTCACTTTCCTCGCTGCCGTCGCAACTCTTGCCTCGGCAAGCCCTTCCCTCAACACCAAGCGCGACGACACTGTCTGCGCGCCGGGTACTGGCTTCTTCCAGTCCTGTGCCAATGGCTTCCGCGGCTGCTGCAAGGCCGACGCCTGCACCATCGGCTACTGCCCCGGCGTGACCGAAACCTCCGCCAACGCTCCGGCCGAGACCACCCCCGTCAACCCCGGCCACTCGGCCAGCCAGCAATCCACCGACCCCACCGTCTGCCCTACCGGCACCGGATTCTTCCAATCCTGCTCCAACGGCTTCCGTGGATGTTGCAAGGAGGACGCCTGCGCCATTGGCTACTGTCCCTCGGCCTCTGTGAAGCGTCAGGACCCAACGGTGTGCGCTCCCGGCACTGGTTTCTTCCAGTCTTGCTCCAACGGCTTCCGCGGATGCTGCAAATCTGACGCCTGCACTCTGGGCTACTGCCCTACTACCTCTGCTTCCGAGAAGCGTCAGGATCCCACCGTCTGTGCCCCTGGCACCGGCTTCTTCCAGTCCTGCTCAAATGGTTTCCGCGGCTGCTGCAAATCCGACGCCTGCACCTTGGGATACTGCCCCGATCTGGCCATCGCCTCCCCCTCAAAGCGCGCCGCCGACCCTACAGTCTGCGCCCCCGGCACCGGCTTCTTCCAGTCGTGCGCCAACGGCTTCCGCGGCTGCTGCAAGCAGGACGCCTGCACCATTGGCTATTGCCCGGACGTCAAGACCTTTGAGACGGTGACCAAGACGGCCCCTCAGATGACCGCCACCCCGAACCCCGAGAGCAAGTCCAACGCCAACGCTGATCCCACTGTCTGCGCCCCCGGCACCGGATTCTTCCAGTCATGCGCCAACGGCTTCCGCGGCTGCTGCAAGTCTGACGCTTGCACTATCGGCTACTGCCCCTCCAACTAAAGGGTTGGTTTTTAACAAGGAGTTGGACATACATAGACGGATCGTCAATCGTGATTGATGAGCATCCGAGGATGGAAGATGGTATAGATGGCATTACACGGTGGAGTTTGAGCATAGCATTAGGGCGTTTGTTCTTTTCTGATTTTAGTATAATAGCGCATCTTGGTTGAACTTGGTCACTTGGAAGATAATACACCCACACTCCTTTCTTGTTGCGATTGCTATGACTGAAATGTAAATGCGCTGGCAAGTGATGAACGTGACAACTGATACCAGGGAGGGAGGGAGGGGTATTTACTGCCCGTGTACTTTGCCGCTTTTATACAAAGGCCTCGTCAGCAGATCTTTTGTGAGCTCACGGCTTCTGGTGAAGGGTCCTAACGTGCTAACGCAAGACAAGATAAAGTATATGTAATTGCTAATGAAATCGCGAGGCTATGCTTACAGGCCTCAAAAAAAGAAGAGAAGTAATAGTGAATCAAGTCAAAAAGACCTGCCCTCATGTATTCGAACCAGCCTCGGCCTGTTACCCGGCCACAGTGTCACACCATCCGCCTCCCGCCTTACTCGAGTCCCCTGAACCGACGGTTGAATTCCTCCACAGCGACGGCCACCATCTTGTACAAAAAGGCGCGGCCACTTTCATCGCCAACAGGTAGGAACGGACCGTTCGTGCCTCCCCTCAGCGTCAGGCTCAGGCCAGTCCGCTCCTTGGCAATTGTCTGTACGTCCTTGAGGGGCACATCCCATTCCGACGTCAGTCGCCGGCTACGAATAAGCAAAATCCGAGCGTAAGTGACCATGACAACCATGTCCTCGCGTGGCAGTTCGAGGTGGGCAATGTAGTTCTCGTTGAAGTACTTGCCATTGTCGACCTGCTTCAACCATGACTGGCCAAGGGCTTCCCGGGCATTGTACGGTCGCACGATACCGTCAGAGGGCACGAATCGAGCAGGGCGGACGCGATCGAGTTCTGAGCCGTCAAAGACGGTGGTCGTGTTGCGGATGCCTTCCGAGACATTCGAGGCCATGTCTAGAACGCCAATAGCGGGCTTGGTAGCGAATCCGACGACACCCTTGCCGATTCCCTTGAAGAATCCAACAGCGCCCTCCTGCTCAGCACCCTCCAACGGCTTGCGGACGAGTCCACCCACGCCAGAAGCGGCGCTTGTGAAGAAAGAGTTGGCGCCGGTGGTGACCCCATACAGAGCATGTTTGGGTCGATTGCGTGCACGTGTAATGCGACGACGATCTTGAAATTGCTTGTCGAGAGTCGCAGCTGCAAGGCCCTTGGACAAGCTCCCAGTGAATTTGGAGAAGGAATCGGTGAAGCCATAGACAGACTTCTTGACAAGTGACGCGGCTCCCTTCGCAACTCCGATACCAAAGTCCTCGGGCTTGTCCGAAAGAATGAGGCCTTGGTAGGGTTCGTAGAACACGTCCGTGAGGCCGGAGCTGATGTTGTTGAACAAACCAACGGGGTTTCCGAGGAAGTCGGCAGACCCGAGGATCTTGTGAACCTGGTAGAGAACTTCTTGGCTGTAGTGACTCGTGATGTTTTGTGTCAAGGCAGCTACGGACACGCGAACGTTGTCTAGCATGAGTGCATTAAGGCGAATCGGCGCGTCGTTGATATTACCGATGGCCATCGTCATGACATTGAGGAAGAACATGAGAGGGTTTCGAGACGACGTCTTGTCCTCGGCATTGACTCGTTCCGTGCGCATGAAGGAGAGGTCGAGTTGCATGGGCTGGATGTTGAGCAGCTCGAAGTAGATGTCTTGGCCAGATTGCTGCCGCTGCGGCTCTGGGATGTCCAGCTCCTCGTCACAGAGTTTGCCTTCCTCATTGGTGTCTGACCAGGCGGCCCCAGGAATATTGGAGAAGTCCAAGACAGCGTAAACAAAGTCCTCATCGAGCTCGATTGTCATCTGCTGCATCAACAGTGTTGCATACTTGATGTACAGCACCCCGTAGGAATCGTCCTTCACGCGAGTAACCATGGCGTGAAGCGAAGGATGTGCGTCGACCTCTTGAGCCCTCTTTGGCACGACACTCGGGTACAAGATCATCGGGAACAGACCACCGTACAGCTGGTTGTCTATTTGAATCCACTTAACAGATAGAGCGATAGTCTGATGTAGAGGAGAATCGTGGTAACGAAGAGAGACGTCTCTGAATGTGACGTATGCAAGTTCCTTTAGTTGTGAATTGATGAGCGAAATTCCAATACCCGAAAGCTTCAGCTGAGCGCGGAAGGTTGCTGTCGTCTCTTGGTCTTTGACCTCAAAGCCATCGGTGCTCGTGCGAGATCCGGACTTGGACTTCTGTCGATACAGGCTCTTGGATTGCCTGAAGTTGGACAGAATCATCGTCTGGGTAGGTCCGTCAGCGGCAACATTGATGTCGATAATCTTCTGTTGTCCGGATGTTGTCGCAAATTTCATTGGAATCTGATTGCCGATTTCCGCGAGCTTGACATGTCTTTCCTTGCCATGGGCGTTGATGATGATCTCACGGAACTTGGCAGCCGGGAAATCCCATGCGTATGGCATGATGCTCCTAGGCGGCAGCCTATACTTGATTGGCCTCCAGCCGGATCTGTCTTCGACTCCATCATCGTCCAGGCTAGGGTTGGCCTGGTAGAATGTGAATTCCGTATCACTCTCGTTTTGCATCTGGTAGGGCCAATTCTTGGTCTCCAAGCTGAGATGCAGGAAGATTGTTGCACCCTCCATTAAGATCTCAGCGCGAATCAGACGTTGGCGTTGGCCTGCTTTGGCAATCTTGACGTGGGTGGTTCCAATGTCTGATATGTTGAAAGGAGAGGTCCACTGGTTGTTCATGCCGGGATGACACAACGAAAGTTGCTTGATGGAGGTCTTCTGCATGAAGTGAAGTGGCTCATGGGCGCCGGGCTTCAGCGTCATAAACCCAGAAGAGCTAGACTCGCGTACGTTGATCTCCTCTCCAAGCTTGTTTTCCAGAACAAATCGTGGTGCGAGGGTAACGACCTTGGTCATCTTGTATTTGCCTTCTCCAGCCTCGGTGGTGATGCCAATGTGCACCTCAGTGTTCCTGGAGGGCGAGGGCAGCACCACCTCGGTTGTGCTTCCGATGGCGTCAAAACTCTGCGGCTTGCTCCATTCCGAATCCGCAATCTGCAGCAAGGCTCGGTTTCTATGATCGTCGTTGCCGTAGGAGAACATGAATGGCGTAGCTCTAGGACGGTTATTGCCAGACCTGGAGGACAGAGTCGACTGTCCGGCTGCAGGTCGTGCGCCCTGCAAGAAGCCCTTGGCTCTGATCTGCAGGTCAAGACCAGTCTTGTTCAGGATGATGTAGGGACTGTAGACCGTGACTCGGAAAGCTCCACCGCTATCAGGGATCTTGTGGTAGTGGAGCTTGAGATTGAGCTGCAAGCCTTCCTCGTCCTTGCAGAGCAGCCTGTCTTCCTTTTTGAAATCATCCGAAGCCCCGGAGTTGATGATGGCAAAGTCGCTGGGTTTGAAGACAGTGTCCTGCATGTCAA